CCTCTTCTCCTCCCTCCTCTCGCCCTCCCTCCTTCCTGTCTCCCTCCTCTCTCTCTTCCCCGATTTCTTTTCTCTCTCCGTCTGCCTCCAGCTGTCTCCCTCTCTCGTCCCTTCTTTTTCTTTCTTTCTTTCTCTCCTTCACTCCCTCCCTCCTTCTCCCCCCGATTTTAGTGAAATGAGCTCGCTGGAGGGCGTGTTTTCTCTCCGAGCTCGGCCCCCCTCGGGGCCGGGACTGTGCTCCGCGAGCCCGGGAACCGCGCCAGCCAGAGGCGAAGAGGGGAGAAGCCTGATCGCACTGGGAGGGGGTGTCCGCCGCCCTCACCTCGGACCCGCTTCCGCCGACTCCCCGCTGCTCGGGTGCCTGGGGAAGGGGCGCCCTGTCCCCCGGGGTCCTCGACCCGGCGGCCGCTCCCACCAAGTGCCCTCTAGCGGCGACTCCTCCCGAGGGTGTCCTGGCCCTGCAGCCCCCTTCCGGGCCGTGGGACACACTGTCGGGCGCTTGGTCCCTCGAACTGCCTCTACCTCTCTCGGTCCCTGTGTCTATGTGTTTCTCAGTTTGCCTCGTTCTTTTTCTCCCCTTTTCAGACCCTCGCTCTCTCACACTCCAGGTCTCTGTCTCTATAATTCTTTATGTCTCTCTGAAGACACCACTGGAGGGCGCCTCAAGCCTGTGGATTGGATTGCTCCCCAGTTCCCTCCCTACGGCTCTGCCTCACCCGCCAGGGGTGGATTGAATCCCCATCGCTGGGGACAGTAGGAGAATGGGAAAGCGCCCTCTGGCTCCCTAAGGCCCTACCCTTCCCCTCGCCAGCCCCCACCAAGAGCAGAACTGAGGGGTGTCACATGATAGAAGAGGTGGTTGTTGTTGTTAAGTGCCCTGGAGTCGGTCCTGACTCATAGCGACCCTGTATTAAAGCTGTTTCTGAGGCTTTAGTCTTCGCTGGACCAGAAAGCCTCATCTTTCTCCCACAGAGCAACTGGTGTACTCGAACCACCAACTTTATGGTTCGAAGTCCGGTGCTTATCCTGTGAGCCACTGCACGCCCCAAGAGGACTGAGGAGAGCCAGATGATAGAAGAGGTACAACCCTTTGTTTTTCTATAAGGTTGCTTTATTCTTTTGTGGTAGGAACACCCGGATCCATACGAGTCATCTCTTTCCTCCCAGGTCTTATCCTCACCCCACAAACTCCCATTTCTCCAAGGCCAGTCCCTGTGGTGTGGACAGAAACAGCTTGATGGTTCTTTCCTGTCCTCTTGGAGCTTCTGCAGACCCTATGACACAAAGGAACAACTGTTTGTAATGAAATGAAGAGAGACTGGGGAAATGTCTGAATCTTCCTTCCCCTGAGCTAATCAGATAATGGGGACATCAGTGGCTCCTCCAGGACCTGGTCAATTGACATGGCAGGTGGCCCAAGCCCTCCTGGACCCCGGCTCACCTGAGGCTCTTAGATGTAGTAGAGGGGCACCTCGCCACATAGGATGCTCACAGTGGTGCCCAGGAAGGCCACGTCTCCTGCATTGTGCCTTTCCTCATGGCCCAGCTTAGAAGTAGGCACTGCAGACTTGGCCTGGAAAGAGCACCTAATTTGGATTCTGAGAGCTGAGTTTTTGTTTTACCTCCAACCTTATTAAGGGACTTCAGGTGTGTTAGACAATCTCTCTGAGTCTCCATTTCCTCACCAATAAAGAGAGGATTGTGTTAGAGTCAGAAGCACCCAAGTTTTGTGTGGAGCCAGTAACTTGGCAGTGGAGTAGATAGGAATGGGTAGGGAAGGTGTGCAGGGGAGTGTAAAGAGGAGCACTCACCTAACAGCCCATGAGCAGCAGTGCTTTATGGTTGACAATATCCATCATCTCAAATTGTCTTCACATCAACTCTGAAAGGGCGACAGCCCACTCCTGTTCACTCACACACCCACCTGGTAGTTCTGGAATTTTCTAATGAGAGCCTCAAGACTGGGGATGCCCTCTGGAGTCATCTTCATGATGTAGCAACAGGTTCCAGGGGCTGACTTGTAAGCAATCAGGAGCTGGGCACAGGAACCAGAATTCACTTAGCATGGTCTCTGCTTTGCTCACACCCAACCCTGATCCTTTGCCAACTTCCTCTAGATTGGGCATGGAAATCATATTGGAATCTGTGGTTCAGACAGCCCAAGAGGAGGCAAAGAGGCTGGGGGATGGAAGTGTTGGATGGTATGAAGTAGCACAACGGAATAGATCTGGCAAAGTCCCAGCTCCAGAATCAAGAGCATACCCACCCTCTGGTAGTCATATGCTACAATGCCAGTGGAGCCAATGGAGAAGGTAGCAGTTGTACCAGCATGTTCACTCAGGGTCAGGCGTTGCTGGGCTTCCGGCCCCATCATGCTCATCTCTAGGACCTGGGGGTGGGGCATAGTACTGTCTGACATTCCTCTTGCACCTCTACCCCTTCAGCATCCATGCCCACCCTCAGTCCTCTTTACTCTAATGTCATCTGTTCTTTCCTTAGAGGTTGAATGGAACTAAGTGCTGCAGGAAATAGAATGCAATACTGAAGGCAGGGGCCTGACGGACAAGCCCAAACTATGTCTTTACTCTGTTTTAGCCTTTCTTAACCATACTGTGTCCCTTTCCTCCCCTGTTCATTTCCCTTGAACAGTTTCTTGTGCCCATCCTGACCCAGGCCCTCTATCCACTGCGTACCATATCCCAGGCTTGCTCACCATCTCAGTATGTTTCTGGCTCATGTGAAGACCCATAAGCAGGGCCCCTACAATCACCACAACAACAAGGACCACAACCACAACAATGATGAGAAGGCGCTTGAGGTTCACAGGGCAACAAGGAATGCCAAACCGGCCCCGGGGGGCTGCTGAGTAATCCTAAAGTGATGGAACAAGCAAGGAATAGGAGTGAGGACATGAGAATGCCCCCTCCTTTCATGCACAAGCTGCACACCCTCCCACGCCCTCCCAAGATTGGACAGTTAATGCTATAAACATGCAAAGGAGAGCTGAGAGGATCAGAGAAAACTTCTTGGAGGAGGTGGAACTGGAGCTGGTCTGGAAGATGCATAAAATTTTAACAAACCCATGTTGTTGTTGTTGTTAAGAGCCATCACGTCGGTTCCTACTCATAGTGACCCTGTATAGGATTTCCAAGGTTTCTCTCTCAGAGCAGTTGGTGGGCTCAAGCCACAGACCATGTGGCTATCCTAACAAATCCATTTGTTGTTGTTAGTGCCATGGAGTTGGTTCTGACTCATAGCAACCCTATATAGGGTTTCCAAGGAGCAGCTGGTGGGTTTGAAAGAGCAACCATGTGGTTAGTAGTCCAGTGTTTATCCTACAGTGCCACACCAGGACTCCAAATACATAGAGGCTCCTGTTTTGTGCTCATGACAGCACTTTCCATATACCTCTGTGGTGGCTGTCAGTCATGTCTCTCTCTCCACAGAACTCTGTCTTAGTAGTCTTGGTGTTTCCCCTAATTTAGTACAAAGTTTGGGAATCCACCCAGAGGCACCTCAGAAGAAAAGTCTGACAATATACTCCTGAAAAATCAGCCACTGAAAACTCTATGGAGCACAATTTTACTCTGACACACATGGGGTTGCCTTGAGTCAGATTCAATTCAACAGCAACTGGTTGGTTGATTTGTTGTTTGGAAGATTATCTATGTGAATTAATCTGGATGAGGAACAGGCTCAGAGAGGCATGTAGGAGGTAAGGACCACCACACATACACACACACACTTACTCGTACACAATCACACTCACCGGTGGGCTCTCCATCAAGACCTCTTTGCTGCCTACATCCATCTTGCTCTAGGTGTCTTCCTTCTTCATCTCCCCAGTGGGACTAGGATCTTATATGTGCCAGTGGAGAGGTGGAACCAGAAGTGAACAACTGGGCTCATGTTTGCCAGCCAAGCCCTCAGCTTTGAAGTCTGTTTGTTCCTGACCCTTCAGAACCAAGACCTTGATAAGCCAGCTACAAGAGTGCCCAAGGGCCATTGGCCCTGGTATGAGTCCTCTTGGCCCCAGCAAGAGCAAACCTGGGTGAGCTGAGCAAACTTGTCCTTAGGCAATCTTCATCTCTCACTGTGGGTGTCTTCCTGGCACACATGCCTTTCTTGCTGGCACCTGCCCCCTGTAGTCCTATGGATCTTCCTGTTATTTTGCCAGGTTGAACCACTCAGGATGCCAAGGGTCTGGCCCAATGGGCCATCCATCACATTCCCCAACAGAATGTTCCCTAAGAATAGGGAGGCACTCAGGAAGGGGATTGAAGAGAGTACCTGTAGATCCAGAGGGTACATTAATGAAGGCAGAAGGTGTTTTGGCATCAGTTGTTTGGTTTTTTGGGGTTTTTTTTTTTAGAGGGGGAGGTCAGAATTGTCCATTTCTCTCTAGGGAGTTCAGATTTCCACCTCAAGTTCTCTTTATCTACCTCACCTCCTCCCACAATCTGGTACCTAACCACAAACTTGCCCTAGTCATTCTTTTCCTAATTCTGTCCAATCTACTGATAAATTCTATTCATGTGCTTCCCTACCACCTGCCTTCCCCTCCCAATGATTTGTTTGTAAGCCAAAGGCTTCTGATAACAGATCCTACACCTGACATTTCTTTCGTATGTCCCAACAGCCTTGCACAGGGCTAGATAGACTGGGTCTCAATCTTTTCATCCTTAAAACAGCCCATTTGTTCCATGATACTTGTCTCCCTGCTCCTCTGGACTCCTCCTCCTATATTTCCTGACTCTAAATTTGATCCACTACTACCCTAAAGGTTGAAAGTTCAAACCCATCCAGCAGCACTGCCCAAGAAAGTCCTGGTGATGGTCTGCTTCTGTAAAGATCACAGCCAAGAAAACCCTATAGACCCCAGTTCTACTCTATAACATACAGGGTCATGACAAGTCAGAATCCACTAAATGATAATGGATTTGAGTTTCATTTTGACACTAAATTTGTCCTAAGAATACCAACCATACATGTAAATATGGCTCCCTTTCTGGATCTTTTCACTACCTCTTTCCCTAAGTCAAATCTACTGATAACTTTGGTTTGACTCCATCCTTTATCTTAAGCTCCCTTTCACTTGTTAGGCCAGGTGGTCTCTTAAGTCCCTTCCCCTCCAAACTGCCAGGAATGTATAAGAGCGTCCACACTTCATACGTCTCTTGTCCTGACTCCCTTATCTTCTTACACTTTAAGTCTAACACTTTAATCCATTTCCTGTCCCTTGCTCCCGGGTCCTTCACACCTTGGCCCTACTCTTCAGTCATGAACTGGCCTCCCGTTCTCCAGCCCTGGATGGCTTCCTGTCCCCACAAGGACACCCTGTCCAGTAGCAGGGCCTTCACTCTAGAGATTGCATAACAGAATGGCATCCAAGCTGAGAGCCTCTGAAAAACTCAGGAAAGGACGGAGGGTAAGGAAATATTTGCTCCCACCACCCTCCTCAGCTCCCAACTGCCCCTTTAAATATTTGCCTAAACCTCTATCATGGTGAGTGTCCTAGGATATGTGGAAGAGAAGGAGGGAGCACGAACATGAAGAGGGGTGGGAAGAAGCATCCTCCTCTCAACTTGGCCTCAGCTGTGTCCAGGTGCCAGATGCTGGAGACAGCCTGCCTGCAGTGCCCACCCCTGCCTGCTCCATAGGGGCCCCCACTCCTGCCTCCAGTTGTCCTGGCAACATTGGGATTGATTGGCTGACTCACGAGTATTGGGCCTGAGCCAGGTGGGCAGTGGGCCAGAGGGAGAACTGACGGCATCTCGGGGTCCCTGCCGGCATCTCAGGAGGCCGCAGAGTCCAGTTGCTGGACTTGTGTGCAGGTGCTGGGGCATGCCATCTTCAGTGGGTGTTGGGAAAAGGGTCTCTTCCTTAGAAAGAAGACATTGTTTTCTTGGGTCCTCAATATTTCTGGAAGGTTGTCCTTAGGTTATATATCGTTCTCACAAGCTATATGACATTGGCTGCTTGCTTCTTCTTTTCCTTCCCTGCCTTCTTGTTCATTCTTTTTAATGTTTGTGGACTTAGAAGTCTTGGGATTCCTGGAGAAGGAAGGGAAGAGGAACTTCAGTTGGGCATGTATGGTCCTTCAACAATGACGTTCCAGCCAGCCTCCCTCTTTAGCCAAATAGCTCACTGTCCCTTACACTAGCCTCTGCTCCATCCTTTTCACTTCTTTGCCTTTACTCAGGCTATTATTTCTCTCCAGGCAAGCCCACCCCCAAAATGTTTCCACCTGTCTGAATTTTTAAAGGCTAAGAGATAATGACCTGCCCTCCCCACAGTGCCTCTTTCCCTTCTCTGAAATTCTCCTGCCACTTACCACACTGCTGTTCTTATCATATATGGGTATGAAGTTTGTTGTCCTGTCTTCCTAATGAGGCTGCCAGCCTTGCCCACAGGTCCTGGAGCATGTGTGCAGCCAATATTTCATTGTATTCAGTGAGAAGGCTGTCACCACACAGGAAGGAGTGCCTGGTGAGTGGTCACTAGTTCATTTCTTCTGTATGTGGCAAGCTCAGTGTTTTCATTGGCTAGCTCTGGACCCTGAACAAGTTACTGTCTGTCTGGGCTCTAGTGTGTTCATCTGGGAAATGGGGTTAGTACTTACTCCCTGTTCTATACCCTTTTTCTATCAGTTGCTTGAACTGTGGTAGCTTATATGTTGCTGTGATGCTAGAAACTATGACATCAGTATCTTAAATACCAGCAGGGTCATCCCTGGAACTGCCAGTGGCAGATTACTTGGAATGATTAGCCACTGAAAACCTTACTAATAGCAGCAGAAATAATCAGATTTAGTGCCAGAAGATGAAAACATAATGAATAGCAGTAGAACATTGTCAGATATAGTGCTGGAAGATGAGACCCTCAGGTTGGAAGACACTCAAAATACGACTGAGGAAGAGCTGCCTCCTCCAAATACAGTTGACCATAATGACATGAATGGAGCAAAACTTTCAGGACCTTCATTTGCTAATGGGGTACAACGCAAAATTAGAAGAAATAGATGCAAATATCTATTAATAATTGAAACATGGAATGTATGACGTTTGAAAGAAAATTGGAAGTTTTCAAAAATAATGCTGCATGGAAAGCTAGACAATGAATAAGGAAGACCTTAGAAGAATTGATGCTTTTGAATTATGGTGTCGGAGAGGAATATTAAAAGTGCCATGGGCTTCCATAAAAGCAAACAAATCTGGGTTGGAAGAAGTACAGCCAGAATTCTCCTTAGAAGCCAGTATGGTGAGATTTCATCTCTCTTACTTCAGACATGTTATCAGGAGGGCTCTGAGTCTTTCCTGGGTGGGCAAGGAGGAGGAGGAGGGACTCCCCCGCCCCCAGAACCTACAGAAATGATGGCCTACTGATTTCTTAAATATTTCCATAGTTTTGGTTTTGAGAACAGTCGCTAAAGCCTTTTAAAGCTCCAAGTGCCTAGGGGCTCCTTTGTAGCTGAATAGGACTGGGAGTTGATCCTACCTCAGCTACGGAAGACCTGGGTGTGGGGACTCCAGGGACACAAAGATGAGACCCCAGAGCTTCTTCCATTGGTAAAATGGAGGGTCAGTGGAAAAGAGGAAAACTCTCAAGGGGATGCACAGACACAGTGGCAGCAAAAATAGGCTCAAATGTAACAACAGTTGTGAGGATGGTGTAGGACTGGGGGTAGTGTTTCATTCTGTTGTGCATAGGGTCACTATGATTTAGAAACGACTCAATGGCACCTGACAACAACAACCCTTCCTGTTCTGAGAGGATCCCATAATATCACAGTGTGAACATCCAATCATCATGATTGTCTTCATCCATTTCATTCTCAAGGGTACCTCTCACTAGCTAAGAATAGTACTGAGATTCCCACATTTTGTTTGTCTCTGGGTTAAACCTCTCTGAGAAACATGGGTGACGGAGAGTCCCATGGTAACCACCCCTTCTATTTGTGTCCCTCCTTTTTCTCTTTCCCAGCCCCTCAGCTGCAGGGTATGGGACAAGATTCACTCTGCCCTTTGTATGCTGGGCAGAGTCGTGCCAGGGACGAGTGGGGGTGGTTGCCCAGCTGCCCCAGCTACCCTGTCTACTCCCATTGCTTCTCTTCCCACAAACTGACATAGGGAGGGCAGCATGGGCAGATGGATGGGCACTGGCAAATAGGCATCAAAGGGCAGAAGCATCCCTGACTGAGAGAGAATAGACTTAAGCTCAGACCAGCAAATCCCTTGCAGGCAGAGGACAGAGACAGCTGGGGAGGCATCTTAAGCTCAGGGATCTCAGTTCCCTGAACTGATGTAGCAAGACTAGGAGCCCAGACACCTGACTTTCAGACTTCCCTTGCCTCATTGCTATGAGTTCTTAGCTATGAGTTCTTAGGGCAGTCACTTCCTCCCTCTAAGAAGTGGCATGGTAGAGCAGCAATTCTCAAACTTTTTTTTTACTTTAGGACTCCTTTACATTTTAAAAAAATATTGAGCTTTTATTTAGGTGGTTTATACCAGGGGACTTCAAAAAGTTTACGGAAAACTGGAATTAAAAGCTAACCATATACAGGGTCACTATGGGTCAGAATCGACTCGACAGTACTTCACAACAACAACAAAGGCATGTAAGCTCTCTGGCGACCACATTGGTCTACATGTGAGTGGAAGTGGGGGGAAGTCAGTAATGAAGATCTGGGCTGAGTTTGACCACGTTCCATAGACTCCTGTCGACCACGAGATAAGAAAGAGAAGAGGAAGGGCTGGTTGGTCTGAAGCTTGGGGAGACTTGGGAACTCCTGAGACCATGGATATTGACCTAGCCACAGAATCATAGAGCTGAGAGTGA